AATCATTGTCATTCATTTATTTTTACACTAAATTTGTCAACTAATTAGATTGTTAATTAGTTAAATTATTCCCATTTCTGCTCCATTTTCAGCATTTTATCTTCATTTTTATGCCTTTTTTTTTCAGTTTCTCCCAAATTTTCAGCAATTTCATTTCTGAGTGTCAAACAGTATTATCTTTTTTAATTAACCTAAAATTTATACTTACAGGTGTATGTGTGTGTGTGTGTGTGTGTGTGTGTCTGTCTGTCTGTTTGTCCATTCATTGCAGTGGTTAACAGTAAGAGTAGTATGTCTATTGTACACTTATCTCTGATAATAAATATAAATGTTACAATTAAAGGCCATTGAATAGAAAAAGTGAATTTTATTGTTTTCAATGAAATTAATGCTTGTGCTTTAGCAATTTGATTAACTCAATTCAACTTTTTTATTTTCAGCATAATTTTAAATATAATTATTAAACTGATTGTTAAGTGCTTTTTTGTTTCAATTTTTGAATGCTTTAAAACTGTGAAAAATATTTTTGAAAAAAAAAGAGAAAAAAAAAGATTGAAATAAAATATTAGATTTGTTAATATTAGTAGTTTTGTATTAAATAGAAGACAGGAATATAAATTACTAAATTATGAACTGACCTATATAATGGTTTTTTTTCCGAAGGTCAAACCATTTCATATTAAAATGATTTTTTCACTTTTTTTTCTGTCGCTTGTAGAAAAAACATGAAATATTTAGTTTTATTTAAAGGTAATCTGTGGAGCAGTGTAATTTATATCTTTCATTTATAGCTTCGATCAAATTTCAAGTTTTTTTTTTTTTTTGGAATGACAATTTTACGCTTCCCAACATTTAAGCATTTCTAACTGATAAGTTTCTCTCCCTTCATCTCTTCTCACCCAAACCTTTTTTAAATAATTTTCGAAATATATTGCGAAAGTAAGAAATAAATGATATGATATATCAGTAACTGGTAATAATTTAATGATATTTTCAAAGATAACTGGAAAAATAATGATGAATGCGGGTAGTTTAATACATCAACAATCAAATAGTGTACCGATGATTAGTGCCACAACTACAGTTACTAATACGGGTTGTGTTCCGGTACAGTTTTTTAATGGTTTTTTGGATGGTACTGATGATGGATTAATTCATCAACAACAAAATCAACAAGTACCGCTGCAACAAATATTACGTACACAAATGCCAGGTTCTTTCCTTTTTTTTGCTTTTATTTCTGATTATTTCTATCATTTTATCATTTTGTTTCATCACATTTGATATATGTTCGAAATATAAATATTGTTTTATTAAAATTGATTTAAAGAGTTATCAGTAAGAAAATTTGTAGATTTTTAAATGTATTTTTTCATGTCAAATGATGGAAGATTATTTTTATTAATAGTAAAGTGAAATATTACTTCACAGAAAAAGTTATGTGTCATTTTTTTATTTTTACAACAAAAGCTGCTGTGAAATTGGACAAACTTATAACTTGGATTAAAAAAACCAATCATTTCATTTGTTGTGTTAGGCTTCATTAAAGAATGTGATAGATTATTGTTAAGATGAATTAACATTTCATTCGTTTGTAGCATTAAATTATTTTTTAGATATGAAGATAAGATAAGTTAAGATGAGTTTCAGGAAATATTCCAAATATGCCAGCTATTATAGAACAGCAGCAGCATCAGCAGCAGCAGCAGCANCAACAACAACAACAACAACAAATATTCATGCGACAACAACAAGTGCATCCGGTAAGTTTGGAAGTTTAAATTTTCAGAATATATATGCTATGAATACAATTGGTTGAGAAAATTTATAAATTAAACTCATAATGTAATAGAAGGAAATTTACTTTAAAAGTTCACTTCCAAAGATTTAATCCAAAAGTGTATTCATTTTATCATTATCACAATTACATATTATTCATTTAAAAAATTCAGCAACATGGTGTTCCTACGATACAGCATTATTCAGACAGTACAGCGGTTGCATCTGGAATGAGACATATATTACCTGATGCTCTACCGTTTTCACCTAATTTTTACGAGTATCAACCAATTCAACCTATGCATAATATGCATCATCCACAAGTGAGTAAGATATTCTGTACGGTGTAAAATTTCCAAATTTTTACTTTTTCTTTTAAAATCACTATTAGTTTATATCATCCTTTTTTAATAAGTATTGATTTTGAATTAAAAAAGAAAGAACTGTTTTTAACATCTATTAATGTTTGCTTTCATCCATTAATTATACAAATTCTGTAATGTATAATGATTGTTTGAAAATGAAATTGGATGTTTAAGTATAATTATTATAAAATGAGCATGAATTTGCTTTTTACATTGAATTCGAGTAAATAGAAAATTTACCAACATGTTTTATGCTTTTCATACCAGAAAATATAAAATTATAGATGGTAGACAAAACGTTGATTCGTGATATATCACAGCAGCATAATGATTATTCGGGAAATGCAATGCCATCCTCATCACATCATACAACTGCATCCGCTACTGATCCATGTGCCCAAATTGCTCACGTCCTTCAGTGCTATCAGCAGGTTTGTTGACGGTGATATCGAGAATTTCTTTTTTTTTTTAATGTTAAGAATTTCTTTCCATATCTGCTGTCTTTTCGATTTAAGATATCATTCTTCAAATTCTTTTATTATATTTTATTTTTCATTCCAAAACTCCATCATTAAACTGCTATGCAATGTCTCGAAACTTTTATTTTTTCAAAGATTTCACTGTACTTATGAGAGATTTTTAGCTCTCTCTAATCATTTATTTTGTTAAAATATTGTATTAAAAATACGAACAGTGAGAATAATTTTGCGTATTGCAAAAGGAATTGGATTAATTTAAGCATATTTTCAGGGTGGTGAAGATGCTGAATTCGTCCGGAAAGCAATAGAAAGTTTAGTAAAGAAGTTGAAAGATAAACGAAATGAATTGGAAAATTTAATTACCGCTGTAACATCGGCTGGAAAGCAACCAACATCTTGTGTTACTATTCAGGTTCATTCTTCTCTATCGCTCTTACTGCCATGGTATTTTATTTAGCATATAAATTCGGGAAATAATTAAAACTTAGTTGTAAATTGCTTTCGCGAGACAGTAATTTGGCCCTATCCAGTATTATTTTTGCATCATTATGAGGAACAGATCTAATAAGTTGGTTAGTTTACTGCAATTCTTTATATGAATTTTTGCAGTTAAATATAATTTTCAAAAAGTAACATATAAATTTTAAATTTCAGTAGCTATGATTTTGTGATTACGCTGAATATAATTTGCTTATAGTTTTACTTAAGCCATTTTTGTAAAAAAGATTTGTTAGCATTAATTCCTTTCTTTTCTTATTCACGAATATGTTATAGAGATCGTTGGATGGACGGCTACAAGTTGCAGGTCGGAAAGGCGTTCCACATGTGGTTTATGCTCGAATTTGGCGTTGGCCGAATGTTAACAAAAATGAACTACAAAAATTACCGATATGTGCAATAGCACCTGATAACCAGGTTTTCTTGATTGATTTTAAAGTAAAGTAATTAGTTTTATCATTTTATTAAGTAAAGCAATGCTGAGAGATGTCAAGATTTCTGCACGTTTTCATTTAAGATTTTCGTATGTTTTGTTATAAATTTTGGTATCGGTGTACTCAATAGTGAAGTTATTACACAATATGAAACTCTAATCAAAATAATTTTTCTTTCTTTGGATATTACAATGTTCAATGGTTTTTATGTCAATTGTTGAAAATATAGAACATTTCGGCTCTGTATCAGCTTTGATTTGCCTAGTAGATAAAGTTTCTAATCTGCTCCATTATTCTCGGAAATTCCTAATCCTTATTGAATTTCCAGGACGTAATTTGCATTAATCCATATCACTATGAACGAATTGTATCGTCAAGCATTGGAAACATTGGTGCATTACTATTTGTTATATTTAATTTTATTGCTGTTATAATTTTGTTAATTACATTGAACATAATTTTCTATTTCATATAGTTAATTTCATTTGTAGATATGTCAACTCTTCGTTTGGATGCCTTAACTGTACCATCATCTTCATCACAGGTCACAGTGGTAAATCCATTGTCCAGTAATGTTGTACCAGGACAAATGGCCCAAGCACAAATTTCTGCACAACCATTACCGATTGAAGTGCGTTATTTACAAAGGGAAAAAAAGCATTTTACAGTTTTGAACTTTGTTCAGTGTTTTGGTTCATTTGCAGTTTACAATAGCTAATATTATTGAAACTAATTGTTATTCTTTAATAATTTACTCTTTAATTCACTAGTACCTAAATCATGCTAAGAAAGACATATTTATACCTGATTCCTTAAAGTTACAAAATGAATGAAATTCGAAATTTTTTTGAATTGAGCATGAAAGTACACTGCTATGTTGAAGCTCATTTGTATAGACTATGAACATATCTATATAGGATGCTAGAATAATAGCTTAAGATGATTTACAGATCTGAATGGTTAACTTCAGAGTATCGGGAAATTTCAAAACTAACATTCCAATTTCAGAGTTCATATTGTGATGTAACATCACCCGGATCATTAAATATGTTGCAAGGTGGCACGAACGATGGCGCCAGTGTTGATGATCGGAATGCTTGGCTGAATCAGAATTGTGTTTTATCAGCAGCAAATTCATCCGCTGCACATTTATATCAACAACATTCTCAAGGTAATGGCATTTTCGAATATTTATGATATTTTAAATTGATGCAAACAATCTTTTTGCTTGCTTAAAATAAATTATAGGAGAACTGATGTATGCACGAAGAAATGAAATTTTAGAATTTCTGTATTATTCATCCGATCGCTTATCATTTAGGAAAAAATGCTCCTAAGAGAAAATTCCAAAAATTCAAGTGTAATTTGGAATGAAAGTTATTAAATAGTAACTCCGATAAATAATGTTGATAAATTTTCAAAATTTTTATGACATTGTTGAGAGGAATGTGCAAAATGTTAAAGAACGAAAGAGAAAGAGATCATAGGTTTAAAAAATCAAATGTTGGATTCTTCATTTTTAAAAATAAAATAAGATAATTTAAAGAGAGCCAAGTAATTAATATTTGATTATGAGATGTTTATATAAATTGATTCCATTCATTTTACAGCCAACTACCAACAAATTAGCGATTCATGTAATTATTCAACTGGCCGTTGTAGATGTAAGTGTAGAAATTCGTTTCTTTAACTTGTTTAATTCGAGCTATTCATTTGCTATTTACTTTTATTTAAGTTTAATTCATGAAAATTCTGAACTTCATTTTGTGATTTTGTTGATGTTTTGTTGCTTCAGATAATTTGGATTCAGTGCGTTTACCTACCACACCAAGTACCATTTTCATTTACTTCCGATTAATATAGCATCTTAATGAACTTTTAAATTTTTATTTCAAAATTAATAAGATGCTTGGAAAAATTAAAACTTATCTATCTTTTGTATAGTGTCGTATTGCAGTGCCCGATCATTGGTGTTCCATATCATATTATGAATTAGATACGCAAATTGGTGAAACCTTTCGAGTTCGAAAAGATCGAACAGAGGTATGCTGCAGTTTAAAACTTCAGAATTTAGAAAAAATTTCAAATTAATTGTTGTATTTTTGGCGAGGGAAATGAAAGTCGTAAATTTTTGTAAGAAACGAATTGTGATGTAACGTACGTAGCTTTTGCATTGACCACTTCTTGTTTTGCTGTTAAGTCTTATCATAAATTATACGGAACTTATGGCATAATTTAAAAAAGCAGATATGAATATTTGTCAAATTTGTTTTGCAATTATTTCAAATTCGTCTTGATAGGTAATAATTGATGGTGGTGTTAATCCGGCAGGAGCTAAACATGGTCGATTTTGTTTAGGAGCTTTATCAAATGTACATAGGAGTGAAGCTTCCGAAAAAGCAAGGAAAGCATTTATTTCTTTTTTCAAGCTAATTTTTCATTACTCCACATGAATAATGGCCATTCTAGAATTGTGCGAATGACAATTTTCTTTTTTTTATTCGAAAAATTTTTCAAAATTACTTTGCAATTTTAAGTTTATACTAAAAGCTATTTATTTAGGTTACACATTGGAAAAGGAGTACGTATTTCAACACAGCGTGACGGTAGTGTATATCTGGAATGCTTGTCACACAAATCTGTTTTTGTTCGAAGTTATTACTTAGATTTTGAAAACGATATTGAATGTGGTACCACTGTACATAAATTTTGTTCCGGTTCGCCGAGCAAAAAAGTAAGCTATCATTGTAATTTTATAATATTGAATGATAAATGTAATTATTAATGTAACAATTACTCTTTGAATATTGATATATGATAAATTGGAGTATTTTTTCAATTCTAAAAACTTTCTATTCAAACTGATAATGCAATGATAAGAAATGTAAAGTACCACTGATTTTTTTAATGGATTTAATCGTTTCAGTAAATGATGTGTCGTATTACAGATTTTCGATTTACGTTGGGCTTTTGCGGAAATGGAACATCAAAGTAAATCTGCTCGCTTAGCTGTTGTAGCACAAGCTGCAGCAGTTGCTGGATATCTTCCTCAAGCAAATATCGCATCGTCATTGATTGAACATGTTGGGACAGGTGTTGATGATTTGAGACGAGTAAGCATTATATATTTTATCTTTTTTCCGTTATCTTTAGTATGTAATTATTTTATGATAGAGAATAATATATTTCTTGAGAACTCAATAGCGGTAAAATTCATGAAAAGCAATCATTTTGATTTTTTATAAAAAAGATTATCATTGAGTAATATGAGGATAAGAATGTGCAAAATGTAATTGTTGCTTTTGAATATTTGATAAATATTGGAAGCAATGAAAAGTATGAAATATTAATTCTTTTTTTTAAAAGAATAATTCTTACCGTTTTGATTAGGTATGTTGCATAATAGCGATATCATTTGTAAAAGGCTGGGGCGTAGGTTACAATCGTGCATCAATTAAAGAAACACCATGTTGGGTCGAACTACAACTTCATCGACCACTACAGCTTTTGGATCAGTTACTAAAAAACGAGTATTAACCGATTTAATCGTTATTTGCAATAATTTGTGGAGTCATCGTACAATTGTCACCCCATACATTAATATGAGCAGATGTATTTTCCTCATATCCAATGTTATAGTTTAATAATTAATGAAACAGTGCCTTATTTTTTATTTATGTGCGTAATTTTTATGCAAGATTTTTTTCGAACTGGATTTAAAATAAAATCCAAAATCTTCCATCAATTTTTGGTATGAAATTTTACATATATTGTTTTACGTAAAGATTTTTTATGGTTGAACGATATGTTCGACTACTGTTGGGAATCCCTTGCTAAGAAATTGCTTAAAATTATTGTAAATGGATGGAAAAAAAGAATTTAGTTCATGAATGAAAATTTCATGTATTCCGAATCTGAATTAATCTAATCACTCTGCTGTATCATAATTTCCTAATTTCGTACATTTCAAAAAGCAAAATGCGGGCTTTATCTCATGTTTCTTGTGTCATAAGCAATTATTTTTCTTCTTCGTCCTTGTTATACAAAAAATGATTCTTTTTCAATGCTCGATTTATTTAAATAAACTCTTGAACTATGATTTGACGCGCTTGTTACAGCCTATACTTTGAAAAAACTGATTTTTCAACGTCGTCATGAAATGGATATTTGAAATTCGTAGTTTTCACTAAATCCTGGCAATTTATAGATTATTGAAGGTTTTTCTACCATTCTTTTCTGTCATTCAAACACATTTCACTCATCTGTCATTTCGCAAGGACTAGAACGAATGCTGCGGCTGAAGTTCCTAATCTTGCTTCATAGTTCCGTTGCTCTTTATCAAAACAGGTCGACAACGCTCACGGACAATTCTAATTTTAGTCAGCGCCAAAACTGTAAAAAAAAATGGTATACTGGACACTCGCATAACAATTTATTTCGTAAGAGACGCTGTTACGACAACACTGGCAACAACAAAGCTCTATGAATTTCATAGCTTTTTTCTACTCCTAACTGATTCCTCGGTTTCGTATTCGATTTCGAGTACCTGTCGCAGCCGCTTCTTGACTGGCTCATGTCTTGGCTGTTTATCCTTCAGATCCTTCCACCTTACTCGTTTCTTTTTTTGCTGCAAAATTCACCATATTTCAATATTGCCTCAGTGTAAATATCTTTAAATACCCTGGAGTCAATTATGGAATTGCTCTAAAGTTTCTTTTGAAAAAAAAAAATTTTTTTTCTTTTAAATGAGTAAAGTACACAAAGAAAAAATGTACACATGTACACAATATATTTGAGGATAATCTTACAACAACTTTACAGTGAATATCGTTTATAAGATACCACAAAGCCAATAAGTGTAAAATGATCGATAGTACAGAAACATACCATACTCATCGATTTCTTTTCTTCACTCAATTCTTCCTCTTCATCTTCCACGGAGCTTTCCTCATCTTCTTCATTTTCAGTCATCTCATTATCTTCACCACTGGTCTCTTCCTCGTCCCAATGATGATTCATTCCTGCATTCTCTATATCTCCATCTCCATCTTCGTCAGATGATTCCTCGAAATCAGCAACGTACTCGCGGGCTTCCGTAACCTGAATGTTTATTAGTTTAAAAAAGCAAAAAAAAAGGAAAATTAGTTGAAAATGTTATTAGGAACCATTAGGAGAAAAATCATGGAATTCAAGAAATCCTAACCTGATTGTCCTCTTCAATCTCAATTTCACGATCGAATTCTGTATCTATCTCTTCCTGTTCATCAAGCACATGATTGAAGGCGTCTTGCCTGAAAATTACCTTATCACTGGTAAAATTCCTTTATGAGTAAAATTAATAGACACTTTCAAATCTCGAGCAATATAAGTTGAACATATAATCCACTATACATAACTGGGAACGACTTTTTAAGTAAAATAAACGCAAAAATAAGGGCGGTGCTTTAACGACCTGAAATTATAGATTTCGCCATAAATTCCCTCACGTAGACGATTCAATAACTCCTTTTCTATAGCTGTATCCAGTTTAGCAGCAATGAGTGCCTTCTCTTCTCGTCTCACTTCACGTCTCTCAATCTTTCGTTGTATCGGAATAATCTTTTGTTGTCTGCAAGAAGAAAATTTAAGTATCGGAAGAGTTTAAAAATTCTGAATATTTTGAAGTATTAAATCAATAGAACAACATTCAACATCTTTCTCATTTTTTCTGACTCAAGTCATCACTTCTATTTTGATACTAGCAGATATTAGCAAGATTATTAGAACGGCTATGTAAATGAATTCTTGCATATCGCAAGCAATCATATATGAAACATATCAGCGGCTAAAATCTATTCAAAAAATTTGTTCGTAAGTTAAATCAAAAATAGTTCGCAATGCCTGGACATAAATCAAAAGCAACAGTATATTTTCATTTTTTAGAAAATGCATTCCGTGCTGATTTGATAAAAACCAGTCTTGCATACTGCAATGAAATATTTAGAGATAAAAAAAATTAAATTAAATAAAAACCTTTCTCGAAGCCTCATTTTCCTCATTTTGATCAAATACTGATGTATGCGAATTAGACGTGCTTTACATTTGTGTCTAACATATTCAGACCAGTGTAACAGTGCATCATCAATTTGTCTAACAGCTTGAGTCATGTTCCGGGCTAATTTGATCCGTTCCCAAAGTCTTCGTGGATAGTGACTTCTTTCAATTACTTTCATATACAAATAACATATGCCTGAAATAGCTATATAATAAATATCTCTTCTTATCTTTACTTTTAACATACTTCTAGCTATTATTTCCTTCCATTACTCTCTTTCTTTTTGTACAGCTTGAAACCAAGGAAATAATATATCCGACTTTCGTAATGATTACTTGTACAACAACTTCTATCATCTACCTGCCAAAATAATGAATTATCGGTGGCATACAGATTTTTCCTTTCAGATATTTTGAACTTTGATGAATATAAATACAGCAACGTACTGTAATTATAAATCTTTTGAAGCAATCCCTACTCAATGTACGATTTTCCATAAAATGAAAAATACCTTTCTCTTCTCGGACCGTAGCATATTGACTGTTAGCTAATGGGCATGATGCTCGATTACATAAACCCGTTAAATTGTATTCATTACGACAAAATTTCTGCGTTTTTATCCTGATAAATGTTGCAAAAATTTGTAAAATTTCAGCTAAAAATGGAAGCAATCAAAAAACGAAAAAAAAAAGAAAGAATTGTAAATAAAGCTGAATGAAGTAATCTTTGAGTAGCCATAATTATAATTTTTTTATCAAGAAGCATTAGAAGCACAGGTTTCTTACCATCCAATAGTACAAAAAAAAGCCTTTACTCATGAACCATAGCACTTGCCTTGTTTTAAAGGAGCACATTCCCTTGTTGAGAATATTCCACGTAACATCGTCACACTGCATCTTCTCACTTCTAATTCCAATGTCTGCAAATAATAATTGGAAAACGATTACAATATTCCTGATAATTAATATCATACAAATACATCATCGTCGCTATCCTGCTATTGCACAACACATATCCGAGAATTAGTTGCCAATATAGACAATTCAAAAAAGTACTAAACTGAACATTAAAATGAATTGTGAATAATTGAAATAAGCGTGGTACAAACAGACAGCACACTGATTTTCTGTCCCAATCGAACAAAATAAGAATGATGATAAATTAAGCTGAAATGAATGAACTGCAGATCAGTATGTTGATGTGATTTACAAAAATGATCTTAACTCGAAAATGCAAGTAGCATTAATTCAATCAAAGGGAAAAGAAAGTCGAAAGGACAAATGAGTAGAGAAACTCCTAATTTGAAAATAAGTCTTACACATTCCTTTTATCATTAAATTTATCATTAATCACTAAATTATCTTTGCATGGCAAAAAAAGAGCCCTCAACCTAACCATAAAACACAAACTATTCCAACTAACTGTTCAGATAACAGCACCCCAGCCAAACGTCAAACATCCCGTGAGCATAAAATTGTAACACTTCAGCAAATTAGCAATTTGAACCAAAACCTCGTGCTCATGTTTGAGTTGCGCCACTTTGGTTCTTAATTCAGAACATCGGCTGGATTTAAATTGCAATTTTGATGCTTTAGGGAAGGCACGTGAAGGCATTGTCTTTTCAATCTTATCATCTGCCTTTACAGGCCTTAACAACTATCATTGTGCTGCTTCAATGCATGATTATTCTAAGCAGTTTGTAGAAATTTTTACATATCCGAATAATGTATTTTCTCATATTTTTTCGTGATTATCATTTTTAATCTTTGTTCAATAGTATATCTGTATTTTATCAATTTTACCATTTTTATATTTTGAAGTGAAAAAAGAACAAAGAGAAAAAGAATATTGTTGATTGGATAGGATGGTGATGGATTGATATGTTAGGTTTCAATTTTAATTGAAGATTTAAAAATTTTTCGAAAATTCCATAAGTATGATACTCTCAAATTATTCCTGAAACATTTTGTTTTCTTCTACATACTTTTTCTTATATGTACAACGTTTTAGCGTTTTATGTTTGTTTGATTCACCCATATTGATCCATACTATGCAATTAGAATGTACCATTTAATTTAGCAGAATAAACTACAGTTATTTAAATTGTTGAATGTAAAATCTTTTATGTGCTTTCAGATTAATTGTAACGCGAGTATTGACGTAGTATTGTTTGAATATGATCGTGTACGAGGATTTTAGGCAATTTTTTTATGGCATGATTAAAAAAGATGTTAGTTTCTTTCTTTTTATTAAATGCATATTCATTATTCTCTTAGTAAAACAGAAAGCAAATTTGGTAGAAAAAAATACGACGAGAGAGAGAGAGAGATTAAAGTTTTTTATTGGATATAATATTTATTTTTTCTGTATTTTCCAAGACTAACATGTCTATAAACTTAAAAAGCCTAAATATGTCTATTATCTGCAAGCATTACAAAAGTTCATAACTTGCTTTTTGTAAGAAAAAATGCAGGTAAAATTATGCTGCCACTTTGTCGCAGGTCCAAATTTAGAATTTCAAATTTTGTGACTTGTAAAGATGTTAGTGTTTCCAAAAAATAGAAATTTTCAATTAGATATTGTAATGTTATCTGCTTAATACTTTTTATGCCTAAACAATACTTTCAGCATGTACTGATTATAGCAAATGTTGATGCGGATGCTATTTGTGCTACTCAGATATTACTGGTAAGTAATTAATTGATTCTGATTTGCAAATATAAAAGTCGGCTATCATTTTGGAAAATTTTTATGTGAAAGATAATGCCGTAGTCATCAATAATTGGGATGTTTGCTTCATTACTTATAGTGACTGAAGATATGTGTAACGCATAGATAACTGTAAGCTTGATCCTATTCTACAAGTACGACACAATAAAATATAGTTATGTTTTAACTTTGTTGATGACAAAAAACAAGTAAAATTCCGGGGTGCCTCGGAGAATTCATATATCTAAAATAAGTTTAAAAAAACAGCATTCCCGTTATTTCACGCTGAAGATATTCTTGGCATTTCAAACACCCTATTCATATGGAATTATTTGTTGGACATCCATTTAATTATTAGTTTGAAGTCAGATTAAATCACTTTTTTGCAACTAATTAAATTCAACATTCATCATATTAGTATTTTACATCCATATTGACTAAATGACCCCTTTAAAATCAGAAAAAAATTTAGGATTTATTTGCGGCAGATGATGTAGCCTATACGCTGGTACCAGTAGATGGATGGGAAGGTTTTCGGACAGCAATGATGGAACATGGGGAGCAGGCACATTCGGTTGTGCTGTTCAATTGTGGTGCTACGGAACCATTGATTCCATACCTCCGATCTGGTATGACATTGTACGTGATTGATTCCAGACGACCTTTGGATTTATCAAATGTAAGTTTGTTTAGCAGGCACAATGAGAAATGTTGATAAATTAAAATAATAATGATCGTTGTGGTTAAGGGAAAATTAGTTATGTTTATTTTGTTCAAGTGAAATATGAGAAAGAAATTGAACTGTTTCATTTTTATTAAACTTGCTTTAAAAAAATTTTCACATTTATGAAACCTGGTTTATAAAAATTGTCATAAAAACCATTAAAGAATGAAATATTCTTTTGGTAGAATTTTCTTAGGCTATAGCATAATCCTTGTTTTGATTGAAATGCCAGTAAGAGCTAGCTTTCGATGCATCTACAATAATGAATTCATCAATAGTTCATTCTTTTGTAAGATTGTTTTATAGATATATTATGAGGATAATATCCGCTTGATTGTGAGTAGAGATGAATGGGAACAACTGGACATTCCAAACATCTGCGATGTCGAAGTCTCAGATAGTTCATCTTCCGAAGAAAGTGGGGATGAAGACGAAACTGAAATGGATTCAGATAGTGACCAAGATTTTCTTGAAGAAACAGAACAGGTGGAAGACGATGAAGCTAACGAAAGTCAAAGTAATGAGTTTTTCTTTCAATTTCTGAATTTTCTATAATAATTCATTCAAGTTTTGTTTTTCCAATGTTTTGATAAAAGTTCATATTAATTGGTCAAATATTTGCTATGTTTTAGGATCCAGATATTTTCTAATCATTTGAATTTTACGAATTTATAGCGTCTGCAAGTGAACAACTAGAAATTGCAAGAAGTTCGAGTGATGGAGGAAATGAAATGGAAAAAAGTGACGATAATGATGCGGAGCGAACTGACGATGCAGAGCAGCCAGAAGAATCTACTAGCAGGCGCAGAAGACGGATCAGTGATGTTGCAGATTCTGTTGGGAGACGAGAAGCGAAACGGCAACGACGAATGGAACTTAAAAGACATCGTGAGGATATTTTATGGAAATACCACGAGAATTCCTGGTATGGTCCATCGGTTAGTTTTTTTTTGTTTTCAAACTTTTATCCTAAACCTTTTTTGCTTAGATTTTTAAAATTTTTTTATATTTTATTTTTTGCGTAATTATTACTTGTGATAAATATAGTTTGGAATTTTTACATTTTATCATTTAATACTGCTTTTCATTTTCGCTTGGTGTTTATGTATGCGTTGATTAGATTTGGAATTTCAATGCTGAAAATTTTTCAAATTTGAAATTTATGAACCATTTAGGATTTCATGGAGTGGATTTGTATTAACTTGTAATCATTGGCTCTGCAATTCATTGTTTCTTTTTAGAGTGCTGTCTTGATGTTGGAAGTAGCGCATTCCGTAGGTCGGACTACAGTCGAGATGATGTGGTCAGCTGTAGTTGGGATAAGTAGTCAGCTAGTAGAATATTTAATAAGTCATGATTGCTATACGACCGTTTGTTTCGACCGTTTAAGGGCATTTAGGATGAAATTTTGTCCAGATGGATCGGATATTGTACGAGGTGATGATATTCTTCGATTGAAGTTCGATGATGAGTATGTCAATTCTTTCATTGCATAATAGTAGTATGGAATGTTAAGCAAAAAAAAATTTTGTCAATAAAAATTGTTAGTTTTGTTATCTTCAACTCAAGAACTTTTCCCTAATTCATTTTTCAATCTTACATATATCATGCATCAATGAGTGTAGTTAAAGAATGAATTCGAGATTAATTTCGGATGCTGAAATTATATTGTGTTCTGCCTTTCTTGGCATTAAAAAATATTTTATTTTGAACATTGTTAAAACTATTATATTCAATGGAAAATTTGATGCATATAGAGACAACGAAAATAAATTATGATTTCTTTACGAAAATGTTGATTTTTGTTGTTTTTGTTGAAATTACAAAGATGATGTCTAAATTGATGATCTGGCAAAGTATAATTTCAGAATAATGTTGCCATTGTATGCGCATTGGTCATTATACACAAGCATGGTGCATAACGATTTTTTCTTTTGTTTAACACAAATGTGGCAGCAAAGTGGTGCTCTCATAATGAAGGCATTGCTGGCTGAACTTGAGTAAGTAAATTGGATCCTTTTTTTGTGTGCTTGTATTTGTAAGGACGTGCTTATATTTGTTAGAAATTCCAAGTATTGTTGTTTGAAGAAAAGCAATATCTAAAGAAGCAATACGTACATTTGACGATGATGCTGGGGTTTAAGTTCTTACCAGTGAATATATTAAAATTGAAAATAGGTAACTGGTGCAAATAGTTTTATTTGAGTTTATAAATCTAAGTCTCAGTATCGTCATCAAATTAATCTTGATCGCCTTGTATATGTTCGGAAATTTTGCAGTTGTCTAGTTAGCTTAAACAGTTTAATTAAGTAATTATTTTTATCCAGGAAATATCTCTCTATAAATTTATCATATACTTGAAATGTCCAAAATCAATTTTAGGATAACGCTCGAAGAAAGTCATCAAGTATACAGCTCGCTAACATCAGAAAGGAAGGATGCCATATTTCGTCACATATATAAACACATGGATGATGAATTTGCATCTTTTACGGCTCATATAGGATACAGTAACAGGTAAGAATTTAAATTACATGTAATGTTGTAAATTTGTTGAATTTCACTTGAATATTGTATTTCATTTTCTAATAAATTATTATTATGTCCTCAATTAATTGAAATCGCGAGATTTATTGGAATATATAAAGATACTAAAATAAGTTTTGCACCATTATACTGTTTGTCAGGTTGTGGCCTAACAAATAGTATAAGGTGTTAAACTTTTTGAAAGGTTCGGATTAAAAATTTTTATGACATTCGAATTTGGTATTCTTAATATTCAAGACTAGTTGTTACGGGAATTTGTATTTTAACATAAAAGGGCTGGAAAATTATAAATCTCAAAAAGAATTTAAGAAAGTTTTAGATATAATTCATGTGATTTTGCGCGTGCAATTGCTGGACGTATGAGTTATGGAGTCGTTGAAGTTGAATCGCCTTATGATCGTTTTATTGGTGCACAAGAAATCTTGCAGAAATTTGTAGAAGGTTTTCCTTTTTCGTTTTAAATTGATTTTATAAAAGATCGAGATGAGAAAGTATTAGTTACGGCGGAACCTAATCTGTAATTAAGATTTGTAGTTTCGAATTGTTAGTGGCACTTATTTTTTTCAAGTGATTAATGAATTATCGAATCTACTTCTTTTAGGAGGAGATAAAACACCGTTATCGAAGGCAATTGAATCATACAAAAGTTGTTTGACGAGCCTTGTAAATCTCGTTTTTATGTCAATCAGTCAAAGCCTTATTATTTCTGTTGGGTCTTTCTATCTTCTCTGCCTTCCTCAGGTATTATCTAAGCTATTATACTTTTAAACAATGAAGTTTGATCTGGTAGTTAAGTTCACTTTCTGACAATTATTGACTTTGAAATATTACTTCACTTACTAAAATTAATGCTTTCTTATACTCTTCAGGAAGACGAAGCACGTATTTTGCACTGCAGACATTTTCTCTACATATTTATTCACTATGTTCTTCGAGCATTCACTGTTTCAGTAAGATTTTCAGCAGTATTTTTTATGAGTTATACATTTTGAACTGAGTTTCGAAATCGGAATAGAGATTCTTTAGTTTCGTAAACTGTTTTTTGATTTAAAAAAGTAACATATTTTTCAAATTGTTGAGTCTGTATACTCTTTTCGCAATTGTGTTTAATGGTATTGGAATTTTTTAAGATTCTAGCGAATGGAAGGCCATTTGATAGAAGAGGTGGCCCTCAAAAAAAGAACTTTTTATAAGTCAGTTGAGTTGACCAAATATTGAGTGGGAAGTGGGTTCAAATGCTTGCATAATTATTCTCTAAATTCAAGTCAGTTTTCTTCTGAACTGAACTAGATCTTTGTCGAATTTCTTCATCAAAATTTATAGAGTCACTCAAAAAATCGTGCTAATCGGCCGTTATTTGTTGCTGTACCTATGAGTGGTGAAAATATTGGTTGGTTTCTGATAACCGGCTGTATGCCTGCAAATACCGATTATGAGGACAGCAGTCAGAAAAGGTCAACATTTTTCATTTACGAGTTTCTTGCTTTTCAGTCTTTATTATTCCGAAATTATGGTTTGAATGTGCTACTATGTTAGTGGTAAGTAAAAAGAATGAAAAAATCTTAGCAAATTTGAAATAGTCATTAAGGATTTTGGCATCGATTTTTGATCTCCGATTACCAAGACTTCCTGGGCTTGATATGTTACTTTTTGTGAGTCGCAGTCAACACTGATAACGATAAATATATGAAATGAAAAAAAAAATTTGTATTTGAGAATATTTTTAGTTTTATTGGACGTGCAATGCAAAAAGTTGTAGAAAATTTTATACGTGATGGAGCTCGGCGAAATTTTTTCGATTCTGCAAGTAAGCGAAATTTTTGTCGTATCATTTTATCTTTATCTCATTTTTTCTGTGTTAAGTTATTTCTGTCTGCGAAAAATATAATCCATACTCCGTATCAATTTACTGTAGTCTAAAGCAGTGATTCTTAAGTAACACATAGATGGAAATTAGGGATTTCTTCCTTTCTTTCAAATTAATTTATTAAGTGGTGATGATTCGTTCCGATCAGAAAGCTAGATTTTTTGATGGTCTTCAAGCAACGCTGGAAATTGAATAAGAGTTTGCACCACTATCACTCTCATATTTGAGAAAGTTTTGTGATCTCTTTACACTGTCAATGTATAACTTCCATTGTCTTTCTGCTTTTATTTTTTTCTTCTATTATTTGAATTCTTTCCAAGAAGTAGCTTTCAATTGTTTTCCCCATTATTTCCTTTTAAATTTTTCATAACATTGTGAGACAATTTTATGATCCAATTTTCTTTACAAAAAGTAATAGAAAGTAATAAATCTTGAAAAAGAAAGATAAAATCCAGGTCAAGCGATAAAAATAATGCATTTATTTGTTCCATAAGTGAATATATGCAGGAAAATAAATACATTTTCAAGAATGTTAATTTTTTTCGGCTGGTTTTTAGCCGTAAATTTTGCACGAATATTTTATCCTGTTTTCATTGTTGAATGCATGTCCTCATTCAAACATATCTAAGACATTTTGTGCTTTTTAGGAATTTTCAATTTTATTTTATCTTTTTCTTCATTCCAAAACTTTGCCAGGTACTGCTTTTCAATAGAACTTAATTGATGACGAAATCATTTGCCCAGAAAGGATCGTTATCTGCAAGAACTTCTTTCTGTTTTTATGATGAATTATATTTTCCTGTTTGTATTAAATTTTGTTAATGCTCTGAAAATTTTCGAATAAATTTTTTTCAGTTTTTAAACATCGCTGAATTAATTCCGAATGCAAATATTATCAAAATTGTTATTTTCGATTACCATGTGCTGGCCTCTAGCATCTTCATGCCTGTTATCATTTTAAATTTTCATCTGTAACTCTTCGTTTTTGTGATTCATAAGTTAGGCCGATATTTCATAATTTTGAATTTGAACTATAAACTGTGGTCCTGAGTTTCATGATTCATGTAATTGTCAATATTAATTGCTTTATTATCTGCATAAAATAACACCGCAATAAAGCTATGGATTTAATTCAATATTAAAATACAGATATTTAATTGAAGAATACATATAATAAATTTTACAGTTTGAATCTTTCATTTATAAAGAAAATACCATTTTGCATAAATCAAATCATAGGTTTATCGATATGGTTCCACAATAGGTTGAAGCTAAAAATCAGTAAATTTAAGAAGCTTAAGAAAATTCAAAATTTTGAAAATTCACTCAATTAAAATAAATTACGAAAAAAGTCAAACATACCAAATTGTAGAATTGTGCGTTAATCCAATCACAATCAACGTTTAATTTTCCACGTGGTATCAGTATTTCACATTTAGGCCATATATTTGGATCGTATACATGACGTTCAGTTTGCCACAATCCATAAGCACAATTCTGTTCAAAACAGAAGCGCAGCTCTTCATCATTTGTACACTGAATATCTTGTCGCATCTGAAATTTATAATAGAGAGAAATTATGATTGATGTGGCAAAACATTTCAACTGATATTTTCTTTCCCTCTTTATAATTTTAATTCAAAGTTTATAATTATTATTAATGATATAAATTATCAGGAAGCATTAGTAATTTAAAATGTTACATCTTATTTTATCACATACCCGTATCAGTGCTTCATTTCCACAGTTGTAACGAACAACATTTAGTAAACTTTGCACATTTACACGTTGTCCATCTCGTCGTAAATAATACATCAAAGCGATACGTAAAACGTCACATTCCGAACGAACCGGTAAATTATCACGTTTTAATAATGCTTCCACAGCTCCCTGATCCAATTGTGCGAATCGTACATCCAAAATTGCCTAAAATTGAAATCGGTATTGAGTATTAGTTTTATAAGACTTAAAAGTGAGATTAATCAATAATTTAAATTAATTATTGATTAGTTCACTTCAAGTTAAAATTTTCAAAATCTTAAAAAATTTTGAAATACAATTATTATTTTCAGATTAAATATACCTCTTCCAGAGATCGTATCACATAACTGAGCACGAAATCTTTTGTTCGAAGTGATAAATCAGATTGTCGATGACAACTAATATTCCAACAATCCAATAAACAATTACGCTCAGCTGCTTTTTGAATAATAAATTTTTCAATTATTGATCTCATTGATGGTACCTATTAGAAATAAACATTGCATTATTTTTCATCTTCATCTAGTTTTTAACAAATTTTAATTTTGAAAAAAAAAAAAAACGATGTATTTTTTTTTTGTTGAAAAAAAAAAGATTTGCAAATTTGCATATCTGTATTTATTCAAAAATTTTAATCTGACACTCATAATCAATTGATATTATCAATTTTAGTGGAAAAATTTTCAACCTATCGAATAATTTAGCAATTACCTGAAGTTCATAGCATAAGGCTAACAGTTCAGGAATTTCAGCCAATGAGCATGGTAGAATACCGGTATAAAAGAAATTAACCATCCGACGAACAGCATTCGCATCATAAGTTGTAAGATGAGTAATGTTTAATATGACCGGTCTGTTTCGCACTTTCATTTCATTCAAATATTGTCGACGGAAATATCCGGAATGAGCTACGGCTATTTCAGAATGAATCATCATCACGGTGTTATCACTAAGCTGAAAAAAAAATTACCATTGATCATATCTTTTCTATCCTCATGCATTTGTTAGAATTTGCATCACGTGAAATTTATGATCTATATTTGTTAACTTTTTAAATTCATGTTTTCTTTCAGAATTGCGAAAGATTTTTTTAATTTATAAGAATATTTTTTTGTTATTTTAAAATTGCGACATAAATAAATTTTAAATACAATTTTGTTATCAAATAATTGTTAATAAATTTAATCCAATTATCAGTAGAATTTCAATGCTATAAAAAAATATATCAATTTTGGATGAGTATCTAAAATTCAAAATAAATTTAAAACATATATATTAAAAAATACCGTAATAGAAATGTCCGGTTGTGGTTTCCCATTTGATGTTTGAACTTGATCCAAATAATTTGACAGCTTAAGATAAAAATTTTATTACGTATGATAATTTTTGCATTTGTTATCGTGTCGAAATTTAAATTTTTTTTTTGCAGTTTGTTTTATTTTCATTCGAACAAAAAAAAAAAACTGCTATTTTTCCAGTGCTAATCTTAGCAACGATAAATATATTTTAAATTTGCATAAATAATTACAAAAGATGATACCTCAGCTTGATGAGAAAGTAAATTGAATTTATTTGGATTCCATACTAATCGATGATCATTTTGTAGTGCCATTCTCAATTTTTAACTTTTATTTGATAAGGATGAATTAAAATCAATAATAAACCAATATTTTTCTGTAACTTTGTACTGAAATTACTAGAAAACTTGTTAATAATGAAATAGTTGAAAATTTGAGAAAACAAAAGCGAAAAAAAAAATGATAAGAAAAGACGTAAGACAGAGGTGGATGATGAAACTTCACGTACATAGCTTTTTAGGAAGAAAAATGTAAGAAAAAAGGCCTACGATTTTTCTTCCTGTCTTCGAGCACAAAGTGAGGCGACCGTTTCAAAATACCGCACTGAAATCAAATGAATGAATGAATGCATTTATTGGACTGTTCCTTACAGATGACATTTTTGCATATTCATATGCAAATTAGTACGAATGAAGAAACGAATTCATATCCGTGTCAAAACTGCAATATTCATTTTGATTTTTTTTATAAATTATAAATTAAAATTCCTGTAATTCAATTTTATTTCCTTGTGATTGGAATTAATATTTCCGTTTTATCTTGTATTTCATCATTTTTGGATCTACTTTTACTAATGATTAATTCGGAAAATAAAAGTTAGTTTCAAAAAAGAAAAATCAAACGAAAACTTATCAATGATGAAATTATTATTTTTAATAAAATTAAAGAATGAGGAATGATAAAGAAGGCTGCATATGTTAAAAAATTAGCATGTGCAGGCAAAAATTGTCAGATACCAAATGTTTTTGTTATTAATTCAGGTAATTTTTTTTTCTAATTTTTGATTTCGTTTTTAAATTTCTTTCAATTTTTTCCAATTGTTAATCTTTGTTTTTTCAACTCTTTTCCTGGTATTCCTATCCTTTTGCAGGATTGCATTTTTTTAATTATGGCAAAAAAAGGAAAACAAAAATGAAAACAGGAAAATAATGAATAGCTTTTTCAATAAAATATTTAAGCATTGCTAATTTATTTGTTTAAGCATCGATTTTTTGAAGAATTAATGGTAATAAATTTTGATTTTGCATAATTAATTTTTATTTTTGTTTTAAATTACAACTGAACTGTGAAAAATTTGAGCACAATTGATTAACAAATTGTTGAATTTAAACAGCAAATCAGTTAATTGGACGTAGAAGTTACATTTAAAGAAAAGTTTGAGACGAAGGAATTTTTTTACTACTAAAGCAATATTTGATTTCCAATTGTTCATATTTTCCAAAATTTTTATCTCTAAATTTCACTTTCCTCCAAATCTGTACTTTCATTGCTGCCAGATTCATTTTCCACTTTGGATTTTTCTATACTCGTAGATAATGCTGAAAATAAACAAATATAATTTCATGACGAATTAAAATTTGAATTGTTTACACTCACCAAATTATTCATTCTACATTTGCTATCTAAGAGATGGGACTATTCGCCCATTATTCGAAATAAAATTATTTTTGTCTATAAATTTTCAAACCAATCTAAAATAATATTTCACCGGATCTTAAACAGAAAATTCAAAGTTTTACAAAAAAAAAATCAGCATGAATCAACTAACTCTTTATCGTCATTTCGTCACTATCTTCTCTTTCGCTTCTTTTCTTTGCTGCGCGAATTCTCGATATACCCAGTGCTAATTCCAATATTGTAATAATCATAAGTATTAGTATCAAAATCGCCGTAATTATCGCTAACATCGGAAATCTAATTTTTTTTTTTTATTCATAACTAGTAGCAAAAAATTTCGAAATCCGATAAAAATT